AGACAGACAGACAGACAGACAGAGAGAGAGAGACAGGCAGACAGACAGACAGATAGATAGATAGATAGACAGACAGGCAGGCAGGCAGATAGATAGATAGATAGATAGATAGATAGATAGATAGACAGACAGACAGACAGACAGACAGACAAATACATTTACTGATAGACAGATACAGTAGTTAGTACGTATGTAGTCAGACTGGTAGACAGACATGTAGATAATAGATAGTCTGACAGACAGACAGACAGCAGTTGTCTAGTGTTAATCCCACAAGGGTGTGGCACTCTAAAGAGCAAAACCTCTTGAGATAGACATGTCACCACCACAGCTGTGAGCATGAACAATCTGACAGCTCAACACGTCCCTGCAGTCTACACCTGTTGAGAGACACAGACAGAGATGACACATTTCATCAGGTGTTTGTTTGTTGGCAGCTGTGTGTTGATGCTGAGTTTCCTCATGTCCACATGGAAGCCTCACGCCAGCAAACATGAGCCGTCTGCTAATCTATCACAACTAATGCCTACAGTCGGCCTCTAGCACAAACACTGTTTGTATACAGCACTGACAACTTTTTGTGGTTGTTTTGGTATGGATTCTTCTCTAGAGGAGACCTCAACATCTGGTTTGCTAGCTACTGTGCATCAGCTTGTAGCAAGCTAACGGCAAAATCATTTCCACATTGCTAATATGCTTTAAATGTATTAACACTCATGTGGACCCAATGCTAATTTGTGTCACACAACCTGATACAAGACCAATGTACCACGTCCAAATGTTGTTCATTAGCTAATAGCATGGTTCGTTGTGGTGCTAAATGGAAAGTGACAATGGAAACGGCTAACGTTGACTGACGTGGCCCGCTCATTCCTCGCATAAACCAAATAGCTAATTACAAAGTGCACCTCCTCCATTTTCAAGATGCACCTGGGGAGAATACTAACAAAGATAGACTGCCATGATTAATACGTAAGAGTCTGGGTTGCGTTCGAGACAGATGGCCACAGGTGTGAGTGACGTTAGCAGCCAAGCTTATGAATATTTTCCACGGTTGTCACAGCAGATTGTTTACAAATGGCTACATGAATGATTGCATCACACACCAACAATTTCACTTCCCGTTTTCCACAGATTCTCTACCAAGTCCAAATGTCCCGCCATTACATAGTTAGTCAGGCTTGATAAGGCCTGCATATTAAATTGTGTAATATTGAAGAGTGTTTTTACATCTCTGAAATAGTATGCTAATATTGCTAAGTGGCTAGTAAAATAAGTAATGAGTAGTATAGACAAAGCAATGTGCTAACATCCCACAGTGTACCTTAGCAATGACTTAGAAACACCGTGACAACCATCCTGAACACCCTAGTATCTGCATAGCAACATGGTAACATCACTCAAGACACCTAAGCAACGGCATAGCAGCACCCTAGCAACCACCAATAACAACTGTTGGCATAGCAACATGGTAACATCATTCAAGACACCTGAGCAACTGCATAGCAACACCCTGGCAACCATCCAGATCACCATAGTATCTGCATAGCAACATGGTGACATCACTCAAAACACCTTAAGAAACTGCATGGCAACATCTTAGCAACTATCCAGAACACCTTAGTAGCCTATTGGCATAGCAACAGACTAGCATCATTCAAGACACCTTAGCAACTGCATAGCAACACACTGACAACCATCCAGAGCACCTTAGTATCAACATAACAATATGGTAACATCACTCAAGACACCTTAACAAACAGCATAGTGTTTCAGTTACAATAGCAACACCCTAGCAACCACCAATAACAACTATTGGCATAGCAGCATGCTAACATCGCTCAATACACCTTAGCAACTGCATGATGGCAACACCATGGCAACCACCCATAACATATATTGGTATAGCAACATGCTAACATCACTCAAGACACCTTAGCAACTGCATGATGGCAACACCATGGCAACCACCCATAACATATATTGGTATAGCAACATGTTTACATCACTTAAGACACCTTAGCAACACCCTGGCAACTATCTATAACTCCTATTGGCTTAGCAACATGCTAACATCACTCAAGACACCTTAACAACTGCATAACAACACCCTGGCAACTACTAAGAACAACTATTGGCATAGCAACATGCTAACATCACACAAGATACCTTAGCAAGTGCATAGCAACACACTGGCAACTACCCAGAACACCTATTGGCATAGCAACATGCTAACATCCCTAAAGACACCTCAGCAACTGCATGGCAACCACCCGTAACATCTATTGGCATAGCAACATGTTTTCATCACTCAAGACACCTTAGCAACTGAATAGCACCACCCTGGCAACTACTCAGAACACCTATTGGCATAGCAACATGCTAACATTACTCAAGACACCTTAGCAAGCGCATAGCAACACACTGGCAACTACCCAGAACACCTATTGGCATAGCAACATGCTAACATTACTCAAGACACCTTAGCAACTGCATAGCAACACTCTGGCAACCATCCAGAGCAGCAGCTTTGTGGCATCATTTTTTGTGGCAGAAAGGGATTGATATTAGTCAGGGTTGCTGTTGCTGCTGAATTTTTATTTATTTTTTTGCCATAATAGGTCTTTGCTAATAGCTAATGATTTAGCTTCAGGGGAGGTACCGGTTATTTATGCTCTAATTAAGTGAGAAATACTCAAGCAGAGAAAATACAGGGAATAATTTGGTAGATGATGTGGCCAAGGCTAATTTTTTCCCCCAGACAAATAGTGTGAGAAAAAAAACAGAAAGTGGAGAAGTACATATATAGATGTATTTGGTGAAGCCTTTTTCATGAAAATTATTTGGTATACACTTTATTCATATTTTATCACATAATGTTATATTATAGTGTATTTGTTACCTGCAGTATTTGTTGTATCACCTTCAACATTTTTAATGTTTTTACCCCCAGTCTACCTCAGCAGCGACTGCATAAAAAATATCTTGTTTCCATGTTGTTTTAATTCACTAACTGAATAATTAACTTTTATTTTAATATCAAAATCTTCAGACCTCATGATTGTACTACTTTTTGCTATAAGATAATTTACACAATGAAGAAGTGCAGAAATTAAATGTTTCAAACAGGTTTCCTGAACACACCCCTCATTTGTTATTGGTCAGATAGTCCCACCCTAAATTCATGCCATTGGTTGATCTCTTGTTGCTATGTTGATTAAACAAACGAGGCAATGTTTTGAATTCGCCACAGTTTATACTGTTCTGGGAAATTAACCAATGGATGAAAGTATTTTACCACATCAAAAATGTTTGCTCTTCTATCATTAAAAAGTTAGTTTGAAAAGGTTATAAAAAGCCTTGCTGAGCAAGCAGTGTAGAATAAAGAAGTGTTATTACTCCAGGCGACTATTTAGTCATGATTTAATGTGTCATTATGTAGCCCTTTATGCGGCTAGAGTTGCTAACAGCTGGCTTTCTTACTGTAATAATAAGGTGACATACTGTGCAGAGACTTGAGATTTGAATGTTTTGAGCTTGTTTATTATGGACTGAAGGCTTATTATGATGTTGGTGGGGTTCTGCAGCAGTGTGGTGAATCTGCTGGGAGGCAGAATATTTATGAGATGTTCTGGACATCAGCCAGTGAAATTGATTGCCCAGACTTAGTGTACTATAAGTTCCAGTCTTTATGTTCCACCTCATCTAAAAAATATGGCCTTCAACACGGCGTAGTTGCTGTGAAAATGCGATTCGATGCATTAGGGATGCAGTGAAGCACTTTTTCAGAGTCAAAAAGTCAAGTGTATGTGTGCATCCAGCATACAGTTCAGTATGTTGACAAAAATAACTGATATTTGGATATGTATTTCATGGGGGAATATTACAGATGTATAAAGCTACATGGGCCAGGACACCCACTTGAGTAAGATGCCCCCAAATACACTTTAAATTTACCTTTTGATCATAGGGAGCGCTACATCTCAACACATTTATTGAGTGCCTGTCATATTTCATCTGAACAGTTCTTTTTTGTCTGAGATTATTTATTTATTTTTGGTCATTGCATACTGGTGCTATGGAAGCCCGTTTCTGCCACTGAATTAAAAAAAAAAAAAAAAAGGTAATTGCGACTTTTTATCTCACAATTTTTACGTTTTTTATTTTTCGCAATTGCGAGTTTACATCTAGCAATTCTGACTTTTTTCTCAGAATTGTGAGATATAAACTCACAATTGTGAGTAATAAAGTCAGAATTGTGAGATATAAACTCGCAATTGCGAATTATAAAGTCCAGTTCTGAGAGGGAATCAGTTTATTGTTATTAAATTGTGAGTTTAAATCTCACAATTCTGATGTAATAACTTGAAATTGCGAATTTATATCACGCAATTCTGAGAAAAAAAAAGTCAGAATTTCCAGTTTATATATCACAATTCTGGCTTTATAACTCACAATTGCAAATTTATAGGCTGCAATACTGACTTTAAATCAAGCAAATCTGGATTTATAACTCGCAATTATATAGAAGTTTATATCTCACAATTCTTCGAAAAAAGACAGAATTGCCAGATGTAAACTCGCAATTGCGAGAAAGAAAAAGTTAGAATTGTGAGATAAAAAGTTGCAATTAGCTTTATAATTTTATTTTTTTCAGTGGTGGAAATGGGCTTCCATATAGTGCATACTTGTTACGTTACGTCACGTTATTTTTTTATTTTTAATGTCAGTCTGATTTGTGGGTATTTCATTTATTATTATTATTATTATTATTAGATTTTCAATGTTTCTCAATTAACATTTGTATTTTGTCTATTACAGGATGGTACCGAGGATTTTCCACCAAGAAACCCACAATCAAGGTAAACTGATTCATTTTTCATACTCAGTAATATGGATTTTACAATTCATCTGGTGTGCAGTTTGTTTCCTTGTTGATCTACAGTGACCCTGTTTGAATGTCAAGTAAACAACAAAGATCTACTGTTGAACTGTGGTTTTCCACTTGTAGGTCGTGACCCGTGCCTGTTTTGATACAGCCACAGGAAGCAGGGAAAAATTGTGCTAAATGCAAATGATAAAATGCAACCATGTCTTTCACTTAAAAAAAAAAATAATAATAATAATTATTACTGATTACTTTGTAATAAATTGACATCTCTATATAATTTCACTGAATGAGGCACATCGACTGCCAGACAAAAATGAAACCCTTACCTTGCAATAGTTCTCTTGTTTACAGAGAAAGTGTTTTTTTTTTTTCCTGTGCTACAAAATGAAATCAATACATGCATTTTACAATAACTGGCCTTTGACTGGTTGGAAATATGTAGCAGTGATCTTTCTAAATTTTAGCAGCTAGGGACTCTCTCTACAGTGCTCACTCAAAGGCCGCGTGGGCTATTGTTTCTACTGTTGTTAGGTAATGCTGCCTTTCTAAAATACTCCAAAATATGCCTAATGTAAAATTGGTTGTGAATACCATTTCATGAAAAAAATATCAGAACGAATAGACAATAAAGGATCTAAGCGACAACAAAGGATACAAACCTTATCTCTGAATAAGGTTCCAGTTGCCAGATTTTACGAATAAATTGCAATTTTGAGTTGAACTGAATATCACTAAATGTTATCTCTAATATAAAATTCCATTTGGATAAATAGGAAGATTTTGCCTGTCAACTTGAATCTTAAACACATTTTTGCTTAAAAAGTTCATAAAACCATTCTCATGTAAATTCTCACATTATACAGCACCAACAAATTTCTTTACAGAACAAACTTCTATGTGATTTGTTAGTACTTAGACTATTTGTTTATAGAACAAATTTTATAAAAAAAGTTAATTTTCTGTAAAATGTTCATTAAACCATTTGCGTAAACTGACATTCATTTAGAGAATGGATTTCTGTGTAAATTGTTCGTAAAAACCATTGTACATAAATCGTTGCATCATTCAAGAAACAAATCCTGTAAAACCTGTAAAACCACTCTTGCTTCAATTGATGCACCACGCAGTGCCGACAAATTTGTCTGCGTAAATTTCTGTGCAAATTAATTGCAAAATATATATAAATTTACACATCATGCAGTGCTCAGAGCTTAAAGTTCTCTGGCACCGTGCTGGATCTCCGGCGTGCGGCGTTTGGCTGCGAAAAAAAAAAAGATAGTCGTCCTACATTTAAAAACACTTGTTGATATCACGTTCGAGTTCATGAGTTCGCCTACCAATGTATGAGAGGAACACAGCTTTCACTCTCAACCAAACTAACATTACTAGCCAAGCAGAAGTTTTTGCTCTTATAAACACGAGACGCGCATAATAGTATCCAATTGCAGAGTCGCAGCTGATGAATGGAAAAGAAGCCTGGGTCTCGAGCGCGACACATTGAAAAAGCTGCGAGGCGCAATGGTCAAAGATTTCCATCTAGCGTAATCTATATTTACATAGAAAAGCTATTAAAAAAGCAGCAGAGCTTTGTAAACAGCTCAGAGTAATCACATCATCTCCATAAGAACGATATGATTGCCAGAACAAATTTTATATTAAAATTAAATGGATTTAATCGTTGAATCACATGAAACCTCACCAGGCCGTTGGCGCCCTCTGCAGGTATTTGTTATAAATATAGGCATATTACATTATGTATTTAACAGTGTTGTTCAATAAAACCATGTACTTGGTTTAGATACTTTATTTTAGGCCAATTCGTATTGCCTCATCGTATAAATATAGTCATATTAAAGTCGGTTTTTCCACTTAGTTCTATTTGTATTACTAAAAAATATCAGATTACTTGTCAAAATAATCAGTAGATTACTTGATTAGCAAAATAATCATTAGTTAAGAACTAGATTAGTTAAAACATTTCAAAATACAACTGCATTGGTTTACTTTTTGTGATTAAAAGACAAATATTTTGTCATTTGAAAATTTCTTAAATTGTCTCGTTCTAGTGAACC